ACGAAAACGAGAACAAGATAAATAATAACAAGTTCTTGGAAGATCTGGATGCTGCCCAAGAAGATCTTGTCCTGAACTCTCAAGCATCTTGTATGATTTTGGTTGCTATGGAGTAAGACTTTGTCCTTAACTTTCAATCATCTTGGGTGCTACGGTGTAAGATCGTGCCCTTGACATTCAATCATCTTGGACGCTACGCTCGAAGAGCTTGTCCTTAACTTTGAACATCTTGGAAGCTATGCCCTAAGACCTTGTTCTTGAATTACAAACATCTTGAATCTGGGATGCCACGCTGTAAGACCTTGCCCTTAATCTTCAAACACCTTTGATGCAACGGTGTCAGGTCTTGTCCTTAAGTTCTAAACATGCTTGATGCTACTTTGCAAGATCCTCTCCTTAACTTTCCAGCATCTTGGATGTTACGGTGCAAGATTCTGTCCTTAACTTTCAAACATGTTTGATGCTATGCTGAAAGGCCTTGTCCTTAACTTTCAATCATTATGGATTGTACGGTGTAAGATCTTGTCCTTAACTTTCAACCATCTTGGATAACACGCTGTAAGACCTGTCCTTAACTTTCAATCATCTTGGGTGCTACGCTGTCAGGTCTTGTCCCCAACCTTCAGACATGTTGGATGATACGCTGCAAGTTCTCGTCCTTGCCTTACAAAAACAAAAACCGCAACAGCAAAAACAAGATTAAGACTCTGGTCAAGATGGAGATTTTTCCTTCAACCAATCTATTGATGGTCGGCTTCAAAACTCCGCAGGGCCTGGTTTATAAGATCTGATATAGGTATGACGATGGAATTCAAACCTCCACCAGTTAGAATATACCCTTTTCATCAATGATGACATGCTCAATAAGCAAAGTTATAAGTTATAACACACTCAAAGATGTTATGACCCGCGAAACGGCGACTTACAAACCACGCTTGTTAATCACCTACTAAGGTAAACCATCATTAAACAACCCACAAAAATTACTAAACAGGTAGTCGTAAGTTCGCTGGCTGCAGGTGAGCGCTGGCCCTCAAATACAAACAATCTGGCCCTTTGTTTTTTCTCCGAAACCGCTTTTATACCTATGTTTCAATCGGTGCTTGAAAAAAAGTAAAATCTACAAAATCACTTTTTTTCCCCCAAGATGGCATGTCTCAAAGAGCTGCAAAGTGCCAAAGCGTCACAGAGCCGCGAAGTCTCAAAGCGCCAAGAAGCGCCAAAGCGTCAAAAGAGCCGCAAAGCGCCAAAGGGCCAAGAGGCACCAAAGCATCAAGAGCGCCAAGCGCCAAAGCGTCAAAGAGCCGCAAAGCGCCAAAGGGCCAAGAGGCACCAAAGCATCAAGAGCGCCAAGCACCAAAGCGCCAAAGCGCCAAAGCATCCAAGCGTTCAGGCTTTGAGGCTTTGAGGCTTTGAGGCGTCGGAAAAGCGTCAAGAAGCGCCAAAGTGTGCAAGAACCGCCAAGCGCCAAAGCGCTAAAGCGCCAAAGCATCCAAGTGTTCAGGCTTTGAGGCTTTGAGGCTTTGAGGCGTCGGAAAAGCGTCAAGAAGCGCCAAAGCCTGAAAGAGCCGCCAAGCGCCAAAGCGCCAAAGCGCAAAAGCATCCAAGCGTTCAGGCTTTGAGGCTTTGAGGCTTTGAAGCGTGAGGCGCCAAAGAGGCTTTGCAGCTTTGAGGCTTTGAGGCTTTGAGGCGTGAGGCGCCAGAGAGGCTTTGGAGCTTTGAGGCTTTGAGGCGTGAGGCGCCAAAGAGGCTTTGCAGCTTTGAGGCTTTGAAGCTTTGAGGCGTGAAGCGCCAAAGAGGCTTTGCAGCTTTGAGGCTTGGCAAACCTTAGCGGGCCTGATCCCCCATACTCTGAGAGAAACAGAGTATGGGGGATCAGGCCCGCTAAACATTTAAACGAAAGAAGGACTTCGATTGAAAGCCAGGAGGAGTCTAACGAAAGAGAGAGGTTGCAAACGAATGTGAGGAGTCGAACGAAACAAGACAGGGCTTGAACGAAAGAGGACAGGCTCTGACGGAAGAGGACAGACTCTGACGGAAGAAGGTGGGCTTCAACGGAAGAGGATAGACCCGAACGGAAGACTCTTAGCGGAAGACTCTTGTAACGGAAAGGATGGATCCGAACGGAACAGGACAGGCCGCTAGCCTAGCAGAAGAGAATAGACTCTAACGATCCCCCTTGGAATTTTTTAGGGGTACCTGTCCAACGTCAACGTTTGCGATTTTATCGTGGACGTTGGTGTCAGCAATTCTATAGAGATTTCATGTTGAAAACAGCATTGGGTACTAGTAAGCTAAGAGTCTTGTCACATCTGCGAGGGAACATCTACCAACAAGGCTATCAGATAAACATCATCATCATCATCATCATCAGCATCAGCATCATCATCATCATCATCATCATCATTTGAGCCACGAAAAAAAACATCAATGTATTGTTTATGTAAGGGAGTTATACTACATCACTTTCGCGAAACAGAAATGCTGGGTCGCGAAAGATCGCGAAAGTAATTTGCTTCGCGAAAGGTCGCGAAAGAGAAGTTTAAGATATTTCAAATTGTTTGTTTTGTTCAAAATGGCATGTCTTAGAGACGTTTCGAAGCTGACAGGCAACAAGAGGCTGAGAGGTGTCAAGAAGCTTAGAAGCGTTTAGAGGCTTAGAGGCGTTTAGAGGCTTCGAGGCGTTTAGAGGCTTAGAGGCGTTTAGAGGCTTCGAGGCGTTTAGAGGCTTAGAGGCGTTTAGAGGCTTAGAGGCGTTTAGAGGCTTAGAGGCGTTTAGAGGCTTAGAGGCTTAGAGGCGTTTAGAGGCTTAGAGGCGTTTAGAGGCTTAGAGGCTTAGAGGCGTTTAGAGGCTTAGAGGCGTTTAGAGGCTTAGAGGCGTTTAGAGGCTTAGAGGCTTAGAGGCGTTTAGAGGCTTAGAGGCGTTTAGAGGCTTAGAGGCTTAGAGGCGTTTAGAGGCTTAGAGGCTTAGAGGCGTTTAGAGGCTTAGAGGCGTTTAGAGGCTTAGAGGCTTAGAGGCGTTTAGAGGCTTAGATGCGTTTAGAGGCTTAGAGGCGTTTAGAGGCTTAGAGGCTTAGAGGCTTAGAGGCTTAGAGGCGTTTAGAGGCTTAGAGGCGTTTAGAGGCTTAGAGGCTTAGAGGCGTTTAGAGGCTTAGAGGCGTTTAGAGGCTTAGAGGCGTTTAGAGACGTTTAGAGGCTTAGGGGCGTTTAGAGGCTTAGAGGCGTTTAGAGGCTTACGGGCGTTTAGAGGCTTAGAGGCTTAGAGGCGTTTAGAGGCTTAGAGGCGTTTAGAGGCTTAGAGGCTTAGAGGCGTTTAGAGGCTTAGAGGCTTAGAGGCGTTTAGAGGCTTAGAGGCTTACGGGCTGCCTCCGGACATTAGAGACTTAGAGGCTTAGAGGCTTACAGGCTGCCTCCGGACATTAGAGGCTTAGAGGCTTAGAGGCTCAGAGGCTTAGAGGCTTACAGGCTGCCTCCAGACATTAGAGGCTTAGAGGCTTAGAGGCTTAGAGGCTTAGAGGCGTACAGGCTGCCTCCAGACATTAGAGGCTTAGAGGCTTAGAGGCTTACAGGCTGCCTCCAGACATTAGAGGCTTAGAGGCTTAGAGGCTGGCGACGAACTGGAACCCCCCCTCCCGCTACGATGTGATGACATATTCTGACATATCGTGACATATTATTACATCATATAATTACGTCATATTATGTCATACTATTATTATGTCTATTGTCTATGTATGTCTATGTTATATTGCTTCTCATGCCAAGCTCCTTAAGAGAATGTTGAATGCACTTGGTCGTCGCAAGGCTGGCGAAGGCGAAAAGATTCTACCATTCACCTCCTGTACCACTCAATGTGCTGCTGGGTATACTCAGTCGGTGAGGTATTTGACGCTTGGAAGATCGTGAGCCAGAGTTGCTTGATGTTGCTTGCACATTTAATGTTTGTGTCCTTGAAGGGAATCATACTGTTTGGGTACATCATCAGCAAACTCTGGAAGTCAATTATATATAATATAGTTACGTCATGATGCTCTCAAGTGTTCTCACATTATGTTCTTACACGTTCGTACCGTACTCAGGAGTTGCCGCTCGGGGACCTTTACGCCAAAGTCCGTCGAGTGCAAGCCAGATCCCTGTGATGCCCCTGTTGGAGCACCCTGGCAGAGACGGTGGACAGGGTGGACACGTGACACGTGGACCTTTTGTGGGGCTTTGATATTCACTACATCGCGATTGCATCGCCGCATCCTTTTGCATCACCCATCACCCAAAATGTCATCCTGTTCGTCGTTTCGCAATGCAGCATTGCTCTCAGTGTTTGTCAGTGTTCGTCAGCGTCAATTTCTGTCAATGGCTGTCAGGTGAAGTTCGTATCCAAAGAGGGCTCTTGCAAGGAGGGGAAAAGCCTGACGTCAGGGCGCCATGGCAGCAGACAGGCAGCTATCACTTGGGCCAACGGCCCTATACAGTCTGTAGTACAGTCCCTTAAAGTTGTCCACTTTCATTGTGCAATATTGATGTGTACCACTGATCAACATCTGTGTAGTGTTGCGTTTTTCAACTACTCATGCACGTGCAATGCGCCATACTGCACCACATTGCACCACATTCTTTGATCTTCTTCGCAGCATGTTTGCAGCCACAACTTGATTGCCTATGAATGCTTCCTGTGCTTTGCGTTTAAACATTTTTGAGAGCAGTGGAAAGACCATTGGACTCTCATTCAATGGGTGTTTTTGGTTCTACACCATTGTGGCCCTAATGAGTGAGCTGAGTATTATGAAACTATCCTTTGGCTATTTAACATACATAGCCATGGAAAATCACAATTTTAATAGGTACATCATCTATAAATGGGTCATTTTCCATAGCAAACGGTTATATAAATAACCAGAGGGCCAGAGGGTATCTTTTTTATTCTTTTTCGTGCGTTTCATCTTTGTCTCCAACGTTCCAGAAATCGAGGTCAAGCTGCACGTCGCAATGCTTGGTACCTTGTCATGAGAAGTGAATGGATCGAACGGGTGGAAGGGATGGCATGCAGTAAATGGCTTGAAACGATTAAATTCAAGGCTGGCTACACACCATCAGTGGCCACGTTGGCATGCAACGCCGCCACACTGACACCAGCCCCTCGGCATTTGAAATTTGAAAACATCAATGTCTTCGATGCCAAATTGCAAGCGGCAGTGAAGGGAATGATGCTGCAGAATGCTCCAGCGGATTCAGCAGATGCTCTTTTCTTTTCAGTGGCAAGCAATACTTTCAGATTGCGAGTGACTAAGGCAACCTTCACTTGCAATGCAAATCCGTGTGTCATTCCGACTGTTGAGAAGAGCAGCGGAAATGGCTGTAAGGGCGTGAGTGGAAAGACGGTGGAGTCTGGCAAGGTACCTCTTAGACTCTTTCTCATTTCTCATTGATGTTGTTGGAGCTGCAAGCGGCATGGGAATGTCACGACGTCACGAGACTTTGGCAAGTCAAGTGTCAAACTGAAAACTTTGACCCCAAAAACATCCATTGACAGCTGCAAAAACAGCCAATCTTTAGAGAGCGAGACATCCCCTGTGACTTCAGCAGGATTTCAACAAATTTATACACTAAATTTCAAAGGATGTCAGTGTAAATCAAGTGAATCAAGTGCCATTTTTAGTGCCGTCAAGTGCCATAAATTGGCCATGTCATGCCATGTCCAGGTCTGCGACACAATGTGCAAAGCCGGTTACACTCCAAGCGTGAAGCGCCTCAACTGCCTGGCAGAGACGCTGACACCTGCCACCTTTGTCTGCAATCCTGACCCTTGCCCCATCCCATTTGACAAGAACCAGGCGCAACATGACGCGACGTTATGACGTCATGTCATGTCTCCTGTAGCAAGACATGTTCTTTCATAATATATATATACAGACAGTACCATATATTATGTAGATTGTATAATTATCATGTTCATTCATGTTCTGCCTTGGGCTTTGGTCTCTATATTTTGTCCTCATAGATCATTAGATGCTCATACATGCTCTGAGTATGTTTGTATGCCGTGGCTCAACTTGAGCTTGTGGTGGACCCAGACGGTGAAACGGATGTTAAATATGATCTATATTTATATACCGGATGAAATCTGACGACAATATGTGATTCTTTTTTTTATGTGAATTCTTAATTTCAACTCTGACGACTGGTTTCCAGGAGGCTAGTGGTTGCATCGGTGTCAAGAAGAATGGAGCAACTGTCATCGAGTCATCAGAGACATGCAGAACCCAATGCAAGGTGGGCACCATCCAGACGCAAACAGTTTTGCCAAGTTTAAGTATTGAGAACAGAGGTGCGACTATTGAGAGCTGTTGCTCTGTTATGCTCCGTTTAAGGCTTGTGATATTTTGTGATTAGTGTCAGATAGTGTCAGATTCATTTGACGTATATAATTTGATTTGTTGCTACTGATGCCAAGCGTTTCTTGTGATTCTTTGCGCCAGGAAGGCTACCATCCTTCGTCTGCAAAGCTGTCCTGCTTTGCCGGTGAGTTGAGCCCCGCAACCTGGAGCTGTGAGGAGGACGCTGCCACATGGGCTGCATCAATCTGCATTCAAATGATCCACAGACAAGGGCAATTGCCACACTGAAGGATTTGCCATGAATGTCCACACATGATATCACATCATAAATCATAAATGAAGATAAGCAAGAGGAACTACACAGTAGGTTAGGCCCGTTTAGACTTCAACCTGTTTCAATCTGACAGATCCGAAGTTTGCACAACGTGAAGCCCGTGCAATCCACAATGTTTACACAGAATTTGCAGCATTTGCCCTTGGTGGATTGTGGCAGTGGTAAGAGGATCTTTTACAGCCGCCCTTCACCCCCGGTCAAGCCTTGCCACTCGCTCACAGGACCCGTGCCCAGCCTTGAAAAACATCAAGAATGCCCCCGAGCTCACTTGTCGTCAAGGGGATTCGATCATCTCCGGCACTGTTTGCACTACATTTTGCAGTCCAGGCTACACCCCCTCTCCAAAATCACTGTCGTGTTCTTTGGGTGACTTCACGCCGGCAACCTACGTGTGCAAACCTGATCCTTGCCCACTCCATCTTGTTCCCAATCGCCTAGGGAGCGGCTGCAAAGGCGTGACACGTCCTGCAGTAATTCAATCTGGGGATACCTGTGAGACTCAATGTGAAGAAGGCTACTCACCATCTGTGAAGGGACAGAAGTGCTTTGCTGGATCGTTGACCCCAACCTTCTGGTCCTGCGAACCAGATCCATGTGAGCCTCCAGCAGGAATCCGAAATGCTGCACCTAACACTTGCAAAGAAGGCAAATCAGTGAGTTCTGGAGGCTTGTGCACTTCTCAGTGTGCTGATGGCTACTCTCCATCGGTCTCTTCTCTGGCGTGCAACCTTGGCAAATTGGCACCTGCCGCATTCACGTGTATTCCAGATCCCTGTCAAATTCCGGAAGTATCAGACAGACATGGTAGCGGTTGCAGGGGCATCAAGGGGAAGACTGTGAACTCAGGGGTTACCTGCACTCCTGTGTGCAAGACTGGCTTCCAACCTTCAGAGCAGGCACTGCGCTGTGCAGCTTCAAAGCTGACTCCTGCCACATGGACTTGTGATCCTGATCATGTATCGTCAAGCCGGGCTTAAAGAAAGCGATGGGTACTGGCTGCAATGGTGGCAAGAGTGGACGGGTTGCATCAGGTGGTGTTTGCAAGGGCTCCTGCCTGCAGGGCTACGCGCCATCTGTGTCAAAGCTTGATTGCTACGCCGGGATTTTCTCACCCGAATCCTTCACCTGTGATCCAGAGCCCTGCAAGATCCCGACCGTGCAAAACAGAGCCGGGTCGGGATGCATGGGCATTCCCGGCGATTCTATAGCTTCAAGCAAGGTCTGCAATGCTCATTGTCAAGGAGGCTACTCACCATCTGCAGCCAAGCTTTCCTGCAGCGCAGGGACTTTGACCCCAGCGACCTTTGAGTGCTCTCCGGACCCATGCCCAATGCCAAAGGTCACTTGGTCCAAACATGGCACGCAAGGACCCAGGTTTTGGAGCACCAGGATATTTACACACATTGGACCATATTGGAAAAACGTTTTTGAAAAAAATTGTCGTAGGCAATCTCTACTTCAATTTGTTCATAATATAAATCCTTGTTTTTAATCTATTGCTTTTCATTGTTATTCTATTTGTCTTCGGCTTGCTAGAATTTATATGAGATGGATTGCAGGTCGCACAGGGGTGCCTTATGCAAGCTGCTGAGAATACAATTGACAGGAAAAGTCGGAAAATCACGTACAAGATCTTGCAAAAATTTTCTTTCTTTGCCTTTTTCATCCTTTTTCCACTTTCATGTTAACGAAAAACATCTAAAAACAACAAATTCAGGGGTGACGACGAGACACACCATGGGACAGTCGAATGCACTTTCATGTTAATTATATTTAATTATGTTAATTACATCCCTGGCTTGCGCCACCAAGGTCGGCAACCAACTGGGCAATGGCTGCAAGGGCATGGCGGGAACAATCATTGCATCAGGAGGAACTTTTGAAACCGTTTGCGCCAGGGGCTACACGCCTTCGGTCGTGACACGTCGAAGTTTAGTCGTGGATGCCGTGAGGACTGAACTGCTTCACAAGAACCTGAAAGATGGTGGTTGCATCAGTTGCATCCACTTTTTTTCATACCATTTTGTTGAGCTTGTTGAGCTTGTTGAGCTGGTTTCAGTGTTTCGAGAGGTGCACTTGCTAAGACGGACTTGCCTTTTGTCAATCGCGGAACCAAGGCGAAGTTGGCATGTTTCGCGGGCACGCTCAAACCCAACGCTTACATTTGTCAAGAGGACAAATGCAAGGCAGTAACAGGCCCGGTAAGGGATGGAATCGGATGGAATGTTGAACATTATATAGTTTGATTCAATTCAGGATATATCACAGGCTAGAATTGTGAGCGCGCATAAGCTTTAAGATAAAGCCGAACCCTGCCAGATTTGAATGCTTTTGCTGGACCATTCTGGTTTTGTCGCGAACTCCAATGCGTTTCTTGTCCTGTGCTTATTTGACTTACCTATACTATCTATACTTATCTGTGCTTTCACGCCAGGCGTCCCCAATGCTCCAACTGTTGCATGCCAAGAGGGGCAGAGCATCATCGGTGGCAAGTCCTGCACGCCCCGCTGCAATGCAGCTTGAATGCGGCATGTGGCACGGGGCGTTAATGGTTTGTATCTTGATCATCTTTATTAATGACGTTATATATTATAGTATATGCATTATATTTATATTATATTATATTATATTATATTATATTATATATTATGTATATATATATACATATATATATATAATGAAATGGCCTAAACGATTGGGTAGGGGGATAGAAGGCAGAGAAAGCTAGCTGAGAAGCCTTGCCCTCCTTCAATCTCCTTCCCAGATATGATGCATTAGAAACTATTCAGATCTATTCAGATATTCCAAGCCCTGAGTTGCAGGGTATGGAGATTGAGATGTACTATGATGTACTGTACCTTTCACATCAGACCAACCATTCAAAACTCGCCTGGTGCATCGTGACGAGGCTGGATTCAGTCCATCTATCACATCCCTCGTCACTCAGCTGTGGTGTCGATGTTTCGGGTGGATCGTAGTTTCTTCCCTCGTACCTTCAGAGATATTCTGACCATTTCATATCTTTCTTGTCCACTCTTTTGCTGGATTACATTCTGCACATACTGCACCCGGGAAACCAAGATATGGGCAGATGTAAGAGATGTAAGAGATGTAAGAGATGTAAGAGGTAAAGGCATGGACGACCAGTTCCGAACCAGATTCGACATTCGACCCCGGCTGGAAGCTGACCTCCACTCGCTTGCCACGACTTGCCACGACTTGCCAAGGCCTGCTCACGTGGAACGTTGAATCCAACAACCTTTCAGTGCAGAGCCGACAATTGCCCCTTAGCTGATCGTAGCTGCAAGGTGCTGCGGGTGTGAGTGCAAGGTGCGATCTATCGAATACTGGGCCATGGAGGTCATGAAAGGCCAATGGGCCAAGAAGATCAACAAGCTAGAAGCGCTATGAAGTCACTGAGAAACGAGAGACATTTTGGCACATCGACATCTTGGCTCTGCAACTGTTGGAGTGTTCTGAGGTGACGTGCCCTACGTGGCAAACAGCTTGAATCCAACATGTTCAGAGGCTCACCATGCTCACAATGCTCACCCCCTAGTTACCTAGTTGCTGTTCTGCTCATGCCCAGAAGCGGTGATTTCACGTCATTTCAACATCTCCTTTGCATACCGCATACCTAAACTGAGCACACACACACACACAAAATCACACATGAACAGGACCAGTTTGGGCGGGGCATATCGGCCGGCCGTACATCACAGCTGACGCTGGCAGGGAAACAACATCGCACACAATAAGAGATGCACGCCCAGATGCTCCTCGGCCAATTTGATTCAGGGATATGCCATGATATGCCATGATATGCCATGCTAGCGTTTGATTATGTGTGATTGCCACTTTTCAAGACGATAGTATGACAAACTCCAAGTGCATCAAAGTGCTGGGCGATGTCCTTAGCTTGTCTTCTTGGCAGATTTTCTGTGCAAATCTATGCGTTATTGCGTTTGCCTTTTGATGTTTTAGTTGCACGAGAAGAAAACATCCAGTGGCCGTTGGCATGTCTAGCACCAGACTTTGGTTTATAGGCGCAGAGTGCCCGCCTAGTTCGTGCTGCCTCAAAACATCTGTTACGTGCCACAATAATCACAAGCTGATCGGCACATTTTCGTTTGGTGCGTGGTACAATCCTTTTTGTGGATTGGCTTCCAATCTTGGTTCTGAGGCAAGAGTGGCTATTTGCCCTCGTCTGGATCGCTGAAATGTACTGCTGGAGTCTTGAGACCAGCTACTTTCGTTTGCAAGGCGCCCACCGGCATCCACAGCGCACAGTTGTTTTAGTTCTGGGCCCACTGTCAGTGTCAGCACACAAGATATAACACGCCCACAACATCCCACAGCTTGCTGCCTAGTTTTCTTGCCTTCAGCCCCACAGAAAGTAGCAGGCACACTTGTGTGCCTGGCCAAGGGTATCTAAGGGGATTCAATTCAATTGATCATGATCATTTCCGACCAATCCACACCATCCAAGGATAACATAGGGTGACATTGTTTTCCAGACTTTTCAAATTTGCGCGAGCGCATGACATCGTACATGTTCTTGTGGTCTCTTCAGATCCCTTGAAAAATCTTGAGGATATTATCACAGTCCATGCATACACACATACACACGCAAACACATATTATTCATATATTATACAATCAATGTGCATAATATTGCATATTAATAATAATGTATAATACATATATATATATATAATTATGTTACGTGTGTGTGTGTGTGAGAAACCCTGAATCAAAGGGAAAAGCAGGGGGCCCGTGGACGCATAGATGGCACGGGCCAACGAAGACCCATCTATGTCGTCGTGAAAACGTACCTTCATCCGAAATGGCAAGGTGGCCAAGCCAAAAACCACCCATGCCGACATGCCATGACATGACATGACATGACATGCTAATGTAACAACACGACATGACGGTTATCATTTCATCTCATTTCACCCTCTCCATTATGGAGTTTACCAAAGTGTGTCTTTCATGCACCCGGATCTCTGACAAAGTGCCGGGGAAGCTTGGTGGTGCGTCCGCCGGGGATACCAGGTTACAAGAATAAATCCAGACATAATGTTGCCAGAAGCCAGTTCCGCACAAGCATCCAGAGTCCGCACAAGCATCCAGAAGACTCCATCAGGGGATTGAATGCTTTTCAGAATAAATCCAGAGTCCATGCCAGAATAAATCCAGAGTCCATGCCAGAATAAATCCAGAGTGAAATTTTCATCCCTCAGAATAACCCCGTGTCATCCCATGCGGTTCTACATGTTTAACTAACACGACCGTTTTTCACTCTTCACCTTGACCTCTACACATGAACTAGTAGTATGATTGCAACACGGATCCCATGCATGACTGCTCGCGGTTTTTTTTACAGACATGACTCGATAGCCTCACTAGACCAATTTGGTTAGTTGTCGCGTAGTTTACATGGTGCAACATGAAAACCCTGTACATGAATCATCGCGTAGTTCACATGGCGCAACATGAAAGCCATGAACATGAATCATCATGCCATGATGACTAATAACATGAGTTAGATAACTTTCGGTTTGACATCATGGCCACATTGAAGACTGACATGTGCAGCGCTTGCAGCTTCGTGATTCCGACCATGCAGCCCGCGATGACGGCAGCTGATTTGTTTGCCCAGTGGATGAGTTCAGCATCACACAACGCACAAGCATCAGCACCTTTTCTATCAACATTCTCTCAAACTCCACAACAACATTATCCAGCCGGACACACCTTACCACAATCAATGCAACCACAGTGTACCACAGCAGCTTTCACACAGCCTTTTGCTCCAACTCCACAACAACAACAACCACAACTTCTGGGACACACCGTCCCACAGCCAACACAAGCACCATTTGCCAACTCTGCGTTTACACAACCTCCATCTTGTCACACTTTCAACACACCACATCACAGCACAGCCATGCCAGGTTTTCAGCCACCACCACACTACAACGCAGCCATACCCAATCCTCAGCTCTCACCACCACAATATGGACCATTCCTCAATTACCAGCCTACACCACACTCAACAAGCACGACACTAGTACACCAGTTTCACAGCAATTTCCAACCACTACAGCTTCAACTCCACCACTGAGTCACAACAAGCACAACCGTACACGATCTCGCACCACACGCAAGAAGCACAGATATCAACAAGTTTTGCAATTTTACAACCACAATCTTTCCAAGCACACCACAGCTTGGGTTCACCTCCACATTCTTGCTGAGCAAAGCCAACGCTCATTTGACATGCAACGCCATATTCGATCCAGTTCCACTCACTCCAATCACCTTTGAAAGCCATGAATGTGAATCATCATGCCATGTTGAGTAATAACATGAGTTAGATAACTTTCGATTTGACATCATGGCCACATTGAAGATTGACATGTGCAGCGCTTGCAGCTTCGTGATTCCGACCATGCAGCCCGCGATGACGGCAGCTGATTTGTTTGCCCAGTGGATGAGTTCAGCATCACACAACGCACAAGCATCAGCACCTTTTCTATCAACATTCTCTCAGACTCCACCACAACATTATCGAGCCGGACACACTTTACCACAATCAACGCAGCCACAGTGTACCACAGCAGCTTTCACACAGCCTTTTGCTCCAACTCCACAACAACAACAACCACAACTTCTGGGACACACCGTCCCACAGCCAACACAAGCACCATTTGCCAACTCTGCGTTTACACAACCTCCATCTTGTCACACTTTCAACACACCACATCACAGCACAGCCATGCCAGGTCTTCAGCCACCACCACATTACAACGCAGCCATACCCAATCCTCAGCTCTCACCATCACAATATGGATCATTCCTCACTTACCAGCCTACACCACACTCAACAAGCACGACACTAGTACAACCACTACCAGCCACACCAGTTTCACAGCAATCTCCAATCACTACAGCTTCAACTCCACCACGGAGTCACAACAAGCACAGCCGTACGCGATCTCTCACCACATGCAAGAAGCACAGATCCACTACCAGGCGACACAGCCGACGCAAATCTACGAAACGACATCACTCACGACACCACAAATCACAACACCAATCACAACGTCGACGCCAGCATCGTTCACATCGCAGGCAACATCCCTCAAACACTGACAGATCCAAATCCAACCATCGATCACACACCGGACACAAACCAGCAGCATCTTCTCAGCAACACACGTCACCACATCACCACACTTCACCACTACCACACCACCAACAACACAACTACCATCTCTTCCACCACCACCGTTACCATCAGAACACACAGGTAAACACCTGTTCTCCACTTCTCCCACTCCTCATCAACAACCACCTCCGCCGCCTCCTTTGCTTCCTCCCAAAGTACCACCACCGACTAGCCTGGCTGACCAAATCAGGTCCATCGCCAAGTCCAAGAACATTTACAACACCACAACATCAAAGACTGTCACAGCGGGACAAGTCCACCTCACACCTCGCCAGCAATACACACCACCAACACCACTTGACACCACCAACACTACAAACGAACCACAGCCAACACAAGCAATTGATCACCTTCAAGAAGCCATCGAACGACAAATACAACAGGATCCGTCAGTCCTCATTCCGTGGGAACCTCCCACGCGTGACAGCTACCAGATATTCAAGTACCAAGAGTTAGAGCAACGCGTTCACTCAGCAACACTCCAAGCCCGTGAGCTCACAGCACCGTCAGTATACTTCCGATTCTTATCAGATCGGGACAAAAGTGTACGTGACATGACAGCTTGGTTGGAAACACGATTTCCAGCAGGCATCGACCTACCACAAGAAGACATCACCACAACGTTAGCAAAGTACATCGTCACAACCGGCATGCCTATCAACAACACACTTACCCACATCACATTTCACCAGCACCAACAATTCAGAATGTGGCAACTACACTTACAAAACATGCCACGCAACACCACAACATCACTATCACAAGCAGGCAACGCCTACTACCACTGGGCACATGCCACAAACGAATCTGGATGGGCCGAACAAGAAGAAGTGGACACTCACGGCATAGTCCACAGACCACGGGATCGCCGCTGGTGCATTCACTCAACACTGGCACACATCTCCAGCATTTGGATCCTTAAGCCTGATCCAAACTTCTCCACACCAGTACAGCACATGCTTGAGCATGAAGATGAGTTTGGCGAGCCGCAGCTGCTGCCGACAGACGTGCAAATGAGAGGCTGCTGATACGCCAGTTTCACCTCCGTTTATATTACAATATGATATGCCATTTTTATCGAATTTATTAATTTTCAAGAATCTCTACCTTCCTATAATTATAATGTGTCCTTGTGATATAAATAATATCCCTTGTGAAATCTTCCTGGTGACACGTGGCATAGAACATATCAGCGGAACCAACAAAAAGAGCCGATGTACAGTGTACTTCCACCAAGCCGTTTGGAACTGTTTTGAAGAGTCTTGCCAACATGTCGTCACCCATTGTAATTCTAAGCGTCACATGTGTTAACATTGTTGATGTTATCAAATCCTAATTGCCTAATTTCATCCATTGTTCCAATTTTGTTTCGGATGTTGTCTCTGACAGCAATCTCTGTTTCGGACTTTGCTTCTGATAGCAATCTCCGTGCTCAAAAGTAAATATTATCGCAATCATCAAGACACCTTCACGTTTTTTTTCGTTGTTTGAGTGCAACCATGACCTCGTGGCGCGGCAGCATGAGACCGTATGATTCTTGGCATTCGAAACAATACCAAGCCAACACACCACCAAGAGCATTTCAAGCACACACAACACCAGCATTGGAACGAACCACCGAGCCCACAAGGCACAAAGCGGTACGACCGCAACTTACCGAGCAGTTTCCAGCCAGACAATGAACACTTTGACACCAAACACCAGTATGGCTTGACGTTTCCACGCCAAATCACATCCACAGCTTGGAGCCAAAGGTACCAACTTGCAGGCCGAACCCATCGAAAGTATCCACCTACGTCAATTGGCATACATGGGATGGTCCAATTGGATGGACATGGGCATCAAAGCAAGCGGTGCGGAAAACACTACTACCTCAGCACACACCACCACTCCTCGCAGTGTAAGTGATGCTCCTCGACAAACCACAATCACCGACCTACAGGATAGCATCCAAAATCTACCAGGCACAAACACCACACGTCCTTTCACCACAGCCGCACCGCACACACTCGTAACCAAAACAGTGGACGCTTGGATTAAAAAACAGCCAGTTCCAAAACAACACCAAGCAGCCCTTCAGGAGGCATTGGGCACATTGCATCAACTTATGAAGAACATCCCAAAAGCCGAGCAAAGCACGTTTGCAGACAAAGCAGCATCGCTTGGTTTGCCGGTGGCGCTGGCGGCAAAGGCGCGCAATGAGGAGCTCTACAAGCTGCCGCTGTTTGCGGTCACTCAACTAGAGTGACTAGACCGCGGCGATCCGGATCATGTACAGTTTTCGGCGGCATGCGTTGCGTTTTTCGGATTCTTACAACATTATCCACCTGACGATTTCTATGACACTGTTGCTTATCGAACATTCCTACGTGTTGCAGTTGGTTTTTGTTTTCTTCATTGGTGTACCAATCAGGTTCATCAACAATCATGTCGAAAATGGAATCGGAGAGTTGACAGAACATGTTTCAAGTCTGTTCGCACTTTTGTACAGTTGCAACAAATGTTCTGTCAATCCAACACTGTATATATACTTCTTCATGCAGTTGTCATATCGGGACTCAACATTCGTCTTTCCAGCACAGAACACTACATCGGCAGTACCATACACACGCTACACGACCGTCAGAACACCAGACAACGCAAGCTCAGACAATTAAAACGAGCACAACCTGTGTCATGCAAGTTGGCACTCCATTGGTTTTGCAGCCAAAACAACTATCATCAATTTGTCGCATTGCCGTTGTTACCCACCAATACAACATTACAAACACGAACGCTGGAAAGCTACATCATCCAAAAGTGGTGTCCACCACTCAACTACCCGTTTATCTTACAACGACAAGTCACAAAACAACACTCAACACCACACTTACGACAAGCACTACGCACCACTTATTTGGGAATCGGACACCGGCTCTACGCTCAGCTTCGACGACGACTTATGTGCAACACACAAGCATCACAGAACACACAAGCATCAGCACCTTTCTACCAACATTCTCTCAGACTCCACAACAACATGATCCAGCCGGACACACTATACCACACTCAATGCAACCACAGTGTGCCACTGCAGCTTTCAGACAGCCTTTTGCTCCAACTCCACAACAACAACCACAACAACTTATGGGACACACCGTCCCACAGCCAACACAAGCACCATTTGCCAACTCTGCGTTTACACAACCTCTATGCTTTCAACACACAACATCACAGCACAGCCATGCCATGTCTTCAGCCACCACCACATTACAATGCAGCCATACCCAATCTTCAGCTCTCACCACCACAATATGGATCATTCGTCACTTACCAGTCTACACCACAGTCAACAAGCACAACACTAGTACAACCAGTACCAGCCACGCCATTTTCACAGCAATTTCCAACCACTACAGCTTCAACTCCACCACTGAGTCACAACAAGCACAGCCGTACATGATCTCGCACCACACGCAAGAAGCACAGATCCACCACCAGGCGACGCAGACGACACAGATCTACAAACCGACATTGCTTCTTCGGCATACTTGCTGATTGGTTCTTTGGTCAAGCAGGAGACTTGATTTTATACCTAATATATTCACTTCAAACCACCAGTCTTATCCGTTCAGTTTCAACTCCAAAAAAGTTTGGTTTGTTTGTAATTTGGTTTTCGACATATGGGACACAAGACCAACAGCGCTGAGGGGTCATTTTCTTCGCATTCAGTCCAAAACAACCACACCGAGGGAAGTTGTTCTTGGAAAAATCGTGTCCAGCGGCTTGATATACGTCTAAGTGGAAACCTTGGATCTAAGAGAACAAGCAGCGGAATGGAAACATCGTGCCCTAGTGGCTTGCTGTGTGTGAGAAACCCTGAATCAAAGGGAAAAGCAGGGGGCCCATGGACGCATAGATGGCACGGGCCAACGAAGACCCATCTATGTCGTCGTGAAAACGTACCTGCATCCGAAATGGCAAGGTGGCCAAGCCAAAAACCACCCATGCCGACATGCCATGACATGACATGACATGACATGACATGCTAATGTAACAACACGACATGACGGTTATCATTTCATCTCATTTCACCCTCTCCATTATGGAGTTTACCAAAGTGTGTGCGCACACCATTTACAATCATACATTCATACATTCATTCATACATACATAACATAATATTACATTACATTACATTACATTACATTACATTACATTCATACATACATACATACATACTTACATACATTATATAATATAGAATATAAATGATTGTAAGTATATATAAATATAAATGAATAGATAAATTAATGAGTCAATAAATAAACAAACAATATGCACTCGATATGATTATTTAACATTATTTACATTTACAATCACGTATGTTTCCGCATATATTTTCCCCAAACAGTGTGGCCACACTGAGGGGTTCTTATAGTAGGTGTTAAGGCCCGGTGCTAATCGAGGTGGTATCCGTACAAATGGCTTGTGAAATGTCCATGTGCATCGCGACCGCGCAGGCTCGCGCAAAACGCTGGCCCCGGCTGACGCGTCCGGCATTTTCCTGCAAATTTCCATACAACATGGCTCTTGTGAAATGCCCATGTGCATTTCGACTGCGCAGGCTCGCGCAAAACGCTGGCCCCGGGCGACGCGTCCGGCATTTTCACTGTAAATTTCCACACAAAATGGCTCTTGTGAAATGTCCATGTGCATTTCGACTGCGCAAGCTCGCGGAAAACGCTGGCCCCGGGCGACGCGTCCGGCATTTTCCTGTAAATTTCCATACAACATGGCTCTTGTGAAATGTCCATGTGCATTTCGACGGCGCAGGCTCGCGCAAAACGCTGGCCCCGGGCGACGCGTCCGGCATTTTCCTGTAAATTTCCATACAACATGGCTCTTGTGAGATCGCCCGTGGAACCCTCTCGTCACTTTGGGCGTGTCAGATCGCTCTCGCTGTGGCACGGTGCGAATTTTGACATTGCTCGCGCAACCCTCTCGTCACTTTGGGCCTGTCACATCGCTCTCGTTGCGGCGCAGTGCTCATGTGGATGGTCAAGGAGATCTTGCGCAGAGATCTTGACAAGGAGGTCTCTTATACAGAGCTTGCCCAGAGATCTTGTACAGAGAGCCCTTATAGAGATCTTGTCCAGAGATCTTAACAAGAGGTCTCTTACAAAGATCTTGCCAAAAGAGCTCTTATAGAGAGCTTGTGCAAAGATCCCTTCAAGAGATTTCAAGAGTCTTGCGGAGACCTCTGATAGAGATCTTGGACAGAGATCTTGCCGGAACATATTGCCAAAATGTCTCTTACATAAATCTTGCCAAGAGAGCTTTTTTATAGAGCTTGTACAGAGATCTCATAAAGAGATCTTGGCAAGAGATCTCTTGTAGAGATTTTGTCCACAGGTCTTGCCAAGAGACCTTTTATAGAGACCTGTACAGAGATCTTGCCATTGCCAAGAGGTCTCTTACAGAGATCTTGCCAACGGAGCTCTTATAGAGATCTTGTACAGAGACCTGGTGCAGTGAGCACAGAGGTCTTGCTCGGAGATCCTTTATAGATAGCTTGAGCAGAGATCTCATCTTCTACAGAGATCTTCACAAAGGGAACTTGCAGAATCTTACCTGGTACCTCTTCTTCCAGAGACCACCTTGACTAAACACCATGCTTTCACCAATAGGGTTGCTTTTGTCCTGCTAGCTTGCAGCCACTGATGCTGTTAAGTCCTTTTCACCTTGCCCTCTAGAATCCTAACTGCGCACTGTTTGGGGTCTCTTGCCGGGATAATTTTTTATATAATAAGATGACTTGGGATGTTAAAATTTGCGTTGAGACCTCCGCAGCACACAGGGAGCATCCATGGGCACCGATACACCATGTTTACACGTACGTGATTCACAACCGAAAAAGGAGCACACACTTTAGCCATGCCCTTTTCGAGTCAGAGGACATTGTCTGCCACTCATGCAAAAGCAGATCTATACTGCATATATTACTACATATATCTACATATATATATATTACTATATATATATATGTGGATATATAATTTAGCAAATTATCATAGATTATTCTAAAGAAATCGCGAAGGATGGAAGGGTGCAGACATGTGCCGACAATCCTCGAGTCAGGCACCTTGTGCAGCTCCCAACGCGCCATGGCTTCATTGAGCATATGCCCTGCATCGCATTGGTCAGAGGCTACACAGGGGCTACAATATGTGTCACATTGTACTGGTATGTGTCACATTTAATGAAGTCGACTGACTGTGACAGGCAGCATTCTGGAGTCTTTGCAAGTGGAAACCAAGGTGCTGAATACAAACCAACTTTGCAGGGAGGGAAGACTGGTCTCTCATGGCAGGTCTTGCACCACCCAATGCAATGCCTCTTGGTTTACAGCTCCTCCTGCCACACGCAGATAGAGATGATATAGAGTCATCATTTTTTAATGAATGCATACGCATGAGAACTCGGAGTGAGAAAGAGAGAGAGAGAGAGAGAGACACCCATCATACGTGAATTTGGCACATGCACTCCGTATGAAATTTTGCAGCCTTGAGCAACGCTTGATCGATTTTTTGTCTCACTTTTCCACAAGCGAGGCTGGATACCTTCCGAGTAAAGCTTCATTGCAGTGCGTCGATGGCGTTCTGAGTCTCGGCAATCGTGGCATGGTGTTTCTGTCGTGGTCATAGCAAACATCCCGACGGATTGATTACCGAACCACAAAAAATATTGCAAAAACTTGACGGCACCACAACCCCATGCTGTTTTCATGTGGAAAAACAGTGATAAAATCAGCTCAGTTGCAAATGGCGTTGTGAACCCTTTTGTCGTTTGTAGCTCAATCTAGCTCAATAATGATTCGAATTCGCTTTCCCCGTTTTGCTTCCGACGTCGGTCACAAATCTTTCAGGGCTTTGCCCGTTTTTTTCCAACAAATTGTCTGAAATCATCTTCAATCTCAAATTGGGTGCTTCGGACGAAGGTCCAGATTTTTGGATTAGGCTTAGCATCAGCTATGTGTTTCATTTACTCGTAAGATCAAATAGAATGGGCTAACGCCCTGGCGCCGCCGACCCCCATTTTGAGGGCCATGGTTATCCGATGTTATCCGATGTTAGCCTACATGGTTCCATATTTGTCATTTGTCCGAAAGTGATTTTCTAGTGATGCCACACATACCTAGATCTTCATGGATTCATTTTTTTCAGCCCGAGGCTGAAAAGGCTGTAATTTCTGCCCGGGCCGGATTTCTCGCCCGAGGCTGTTTTTTCAGCCCGAGACCATATATAGCAGATTGATTATAAGAATATTGGTTATAAATGGTTATAAATAGTATAATACATGCATGAAGATATCGCTATGTAAAAGCATCCTGTAAGAACAATCCTTTGCAGAATCAGTGCCAAGATAGGTGAACAATATTGGTTTAAAACAAGAAGTAAGGGTATGATAACTAGACCAACGCACGTTACAAATCAACACCATACCTTCCACTTTCACCATGCCCAAGTTCCTTTTGCGCCTTTGGCGAGCTGCGGAGAGCAAATCCCAGCCGAGACAAGGCCGGCCCAGAGCTGGACAAGGGGACTGGTACACAAAAATGTTTCTTTTTGACTTTTGGGATGTTAACAGCTTCAGTAGAAGGTGCCTATGTATTGTTTCATAGTGATATTATATCATATTGTTTCACATCTCCCCTATCATGTTCTCTTAGGCTTCGGCCTGTTGAACTTATAGACCAAACATGACAACCATTCTGGGCTTTCCTAGCCATCCCGTCTCCGAAGCAAAACCATCCACCACGCGTTTGGTTTGAATTGGCAAGGCCTTGGCGATGAGCGCATTAGCGGGCACAAGCTGCTGGACCTGAGCGCCAAAGCGTTGCGCTGGGGATGGCTCATCATTGATGAGATCAGCATGGTCAGCGCTGAGCTTTTGGCTCGGTTAGAGTTGCGTTGCCGAGAGTTGGTCCGCTCGCCCAAAGCAAGTACGCAAAGGATGCGGCATATGCCCGTCCCTTTGGGGGGTTAAACGTTATTCTGGCAGGTGATACGTGGCAGCTGCCACCGCCATGTGGAACTTTTTTGGGAGATGTCCCGTGGGAATGGTTGGCGCAATGCAAAACGAAGAAAGTAGCCCATACCATCCACGGGCAAGAGTTGATCTGGGGCAAGGCCCCGGACGGAATCCATGGCGTGACAGAACTGGTCGAGTGCGAGCGCACCCGGGATATTTGGTTGCAGAGTATACAAAATTATACAAAACGAAGTGCAAAACGGAGGCGAACCATGCATTCTGGCATGGCTTTGCCACGCCCGTACCTGGAAGCTGGAACGGGCAGAGACTAGAGCGCAACCAAGCCGGATGCCAAAAGTTGCTGAGAGAAAAAGCAGCGCCAAACGCAATCCTTCGTTTCGAATGCGACGTGTGCAAAAACGAGCGCCGCTCCAAGGCCAGAGTTGCAGACGGTTCGGCCGAGGCGCCTGCAAAGCTCGCCAGTGCGAAAGCGATTTTCACGACAAATGCCGTGATAAACTGCGAGCCAAAGCTTGGGCCGCAGAAACAGGACAGGTGCTGCACCATGCCACTGCAAAAGACAGGATATCAAGCGTGGCTTTGCGCGAAAAGCCAGATCTGGGCAAAGAAAAATTGACATGGCTGCAGCGACACGATCAGGACTGTGGGTCCTTGTATGGTGTTTTGCCGCTGTGCCTTGGTATGCCAGTGGCTCCGCGAAGCATTTTACGGGTTTGACGGCTGGCAAACGGCAGGCTTGAACGCCCTAAAAACAGATGACTCTGAAGGCAAATGGCAGGCTTGAACGCTCTAACTACAAATGCCTGCGGCCAGAGGGCCTGGTCGAAGCTGCCGCAAGGCATTTTACGGGTTTGAGGCCTGACAAACGGCAGGCTTGTGCGCCCTAACAACAGATGGCTCTGGAGGCAAACGGCAGGCTTGAACCGACAAAAACCAGTTCCACACCTGCAGTGGTCCCAGGCCCTGCCCCTGCCTTGGCCAAGGCAGGGGTCGGCGGATATGTGTAACTTCCACGTGTACCTTCAAGTAGCGTAGCATCAACTAATCATGTGCGTGCCTTCAAAGCGAACCTTCAAGTAGCGTAGCATCCACTATGTGCGTAACTTCTAAGTGTACCTTCAAGTAGCGTAGCACCCACTATTATGTGCGTAACTTCTAAGTGATTCAAGTAGCGTAGCATCCACTATGTGCGTAACTTCTAAGTGAAGTAACGTAGCATCAACTTCGTGCGTAACTTAGAAGTCTATCTTAAGTCAACTACGTGTGTAATTAATAAAGTGTACCCTCATAGCGTGGCATCCCCATGCATCCACTATGTGCATAACTTCTAAGTGTACCTTCAAGTAGCGTAGCATCAACTTCGTGCGTAACTTCGAAATCTATCTTAAGTCAACTACGTGTGTAATGAATAAAGTGTACCCTCAAGTAGCGTGGCACCCACATGCATCCACTATGTGCATGACTTCTAAGTGTACCTTCAAGTAGCGTAGCATCAACTTCGTGCGTAACTTAGAAATCTATCTTAAGTCAACTACGTGTGTAATTTCTAAAGTGTACCCTCAAGTAGCGTGGCATCCACATGCATGCACTATGTGCATAACTTCTAAGTGTACCTTCAAGTAGCGTAGCATCAACTTCATACGTAACTTAGAAATCTATCTTAAGTCAACTACGTGTGTAATTAATAAAGTGCACCCTCAAGTAACCAGTAGCGTGGCATCCACATGCATCCACTATGTGCATAGCTGTTGCATAACTTCTAAGTGTACCTTCAAGTAGCGTAGCATCAACTTCGTGCGTAGCTTAGAAATCTATCTTAAGTCAACTACGTGTGTAATGAATAAAGTGTACCCTCAAGTAGCGTGGCATCAACTTCGTGCGTAACTTAGAAATCTATCTTAAGTCAACTACGTATGTAATTTCTTAAAAAAAACTTCAAGTAGCGTGGCATCCACATGCATCCACTATGTGCATAGCTTCTAAGTGTACCTTCAAGTAGCGTAGCATCAACGTCGTGCGTAACTTCGAAATCAAGTCAACTACGTATGTAATTTCTTAAAAAAAAACCTCAAGTAGCGTGGCATCCACATGCATCCACTATGTGCATAACTGCTGCATAACTTCTAAGTATACCTTCAAGTAGCGTAGCATCAACTTCGTGCGTAACTTAGAAATCTATCTTATGTCAACTACGTGTGTATTTAATAGAGTGTACCCTCAAGTAGCGTGGCATCCACATGCATCCACTATGTGCATAACTTCTAAGTGTACCTTCAAGTAGCGTAGCATCCACTTCGTGCGTAACTTAGAAATCTATCTTAAGTCAACTACGTGTGTAATTTCTAAAGTGTACCCTCAAGCAGCGTGGCATCCACATGCATCCACTATGCGCATAGCTTCTAAGTGTACCTTCAAGTAGCGTAGCATCAACTTCGTGCGTAACTTAGAAATCTATCTTATGTCAACTACGTGTGTATTTAATAGAGTGTACCCTCAAGTAGCGTGGCATCCACATGCATCCACTATGTGCATAACTTCTAAGTGTACCTTCAAGTAGCGTAGCATCAACTTCGTGCGTAACTTCTATAAGCGATCCTTGAAGTCAGGTAGCGTTACGATGCATCAAATATGTGTGCAACTGCATCTTGAACGTTATTGCCCGCCCACCCGCTCCATTAAGCAGTCAAACATGCATCTCTTCAATATTTTCTGACCGAACGCAATTGGGGCCCCTAGAAGATGAAAGATTGTGTGGCATATGCCACTCACTTCCGGGGTAAGGACGGGTGGGCCAGTCTGGTGCGAGTCCCTTGGCCGCAAACAGTCGAGGGACAAGCGATGTTGCCCCTCCTCACTACCATTTGCGAAAAGGAATGGGTAGAAGCTGACGGAAACTGAATTCTGGTGCAGCTTCTCGCTGAGGTCTGCTCCCCCACCAATCGGTGGAAATTTCTACAATTGCTGGACTGGTGACCCACATTTTGTATGCAGTTGCTCGACAGAATGAGCCCAGCGGGATGGCCCAACAGATTCTTCCTGAGTGTTCATCGGATTCATCGGGTCTTTTGGTCACAACTTTGTGTGCCCTTTTTGCTGATTTCAATGCAGTACAATACCTTTTCACAGTCACTTTTTAAAGATCTCAAAAGGTACCATGGACTTGCCTTAGAAGACATCTTGGGCCAATCTTGGGCACATGTTTCTTGTAAAGCCACGTGCATCAAAAACGACAAGTTGGTTGCAAATTGAGGCCATGGTCGACGAAGTGACCCTCTGGTGCCTGGAACCCATTGGGTGTTGAAGCAGCAACCTGCCGGCATGGCTGTTTCTCTCCTGGTTTCCAGCCGAATTGATCATCTCCCTATGGACCTATGCAACGCCTTTGCCATCCAGCCCATTTCTTTCTTTCGTTGTAAGTCAAAACTATCTCAATTCAATTCCTTTCTATGGCACGAATCGTCAAATTTCTCTCAATGACTTCGTCCGCCATGCTCGCATTGAACTCAAATTGCAGTTCTCAAGTCCTAAATTCCCTCTTTTGCTTTTCACTCTGAGCCACACGCCAACGCACAAACTACACTACCGCTCTACCCATCTCTCAGGACATTCTGCGAATTTCCAATGCACCAGTTGTTGATATCCATGAGGTACACACACATATATATGTATATATATATATATACTAGATACATATCATATATTGATATATATATATATACACATTATACGTTTAATCGAAGGAAGTTTAGAAGTCAAACTTCCGACAAGATGGACAGATGAAAAGCAGAGCAGGGAAGAGGCAGAGAGAAGAGGAAGATTAGAAGAAAGAAGAGTAGAAGAGAAAGAGTAAGAAGAAAGAAGATGCAGATGCGCGAAAAGGTAGGAAAGTCGCGAAACACTATGTTTTTCCAAATGATTTGTGGCTCCGGAAGGTCGAAAAGTAGGCTCGCTAAAGCGGCGGGTGCGGAGCCAGCTGGCCAGATGAGTGATGAACAATTGCACGCCGTTGTGGCGCGAAGCAGATTTCCAAGTCAAAATGTACAAAGCACACCAGTGTCGGACCACTTTTGGAAGTTGAGATGTCAAAAAAGTGCACGCCGTTGTGGCGCGAAGCAGATTTCCAAGTCAAAATGTACAAAACACACCAGTGTCGGACCACTTGGAAGTTGCGATGTCAAAAAAGTGCACGCCGTTGTGGCGCGAAGCACATTTCCAAGTCAAAATGTTAAAAGCACCAGGGGTTCGGACCACTTTTGGAGGTTCAGATGTCGCTTCGCTTCAATACACTACACTACAGGACATTACATTACACTACACTACACTACACTACGCTACACTACACTCCACAACACTACAACTACAACTACACAACTACACAACTACACTCCACTACACTCCACTACACTAAATTACACTACACTACACTACATTAAATTGCACTACACTACGCTACATTACACTACACTACACTCCACTACGCTACATTACACTACACTACACTACACTACCTTTCACTACACTTCACTACATTACATTACACTACACTCCACTACACTACAACTACAACTACACAACTACACTCCACTACACTACATTACACTACACTACATTACACTACATTCCACTACACTACACTACATTACACTACACTACACTACCTTCCACTACACTTTACTACATTACACTACACTACACTCCACTACAACTACAACTACACAACTACACTCCACTACACTAAATTACACTACACTACACTACATTACACTACATTCCACTACACTCCACTACACTACACTACATTACACTACACTACATTTCACTGAATGACACTGCACCACAGATAGACAGATAGACAGACAGACAGATAGATAGATAGATAGACAGATAGACAGGTAGACAGCTAGACAGGTAGACAGATGAAAGAGAGAGAGGGAGATAGACAGACAGACAGACAGACAGACAGATAGATAGGTAGATAGATAGATAGGTAATTAGATGGAAGAGAGAGAGAGAGAGAGAGAGAGAGATAGATCAATAGATACATAGATAGATAGATGGATAGATAGATGGATAGATAGATAGATAGGCAGGTAGGTAGGTAGATAGTCAGAGAAAGAGAGAGAAAGAGAGGAGACCTCAATCACCTTTCGATCCATCAGTGGCTTCGCTCTGCCATCCCTGATTCACAACAACCAACCTCTCCTATAGGTTTCCCATTTTTGAAACTTCCGCCACCGCCTTGTGCGGTACTACTGGTACGTTTAATATGTTTAATGATTAGATGTCTTTTGATAATAGGCGTCCTTGGCTGAGATGATGTATGATGATCTGAGATGCCCAGGCTTTGTGTTAGGTGAGGCTTGTAGCGTCGCTGACGCCAAGGAGCTGCCCAGGCAGTCCTAACTTCATGTGGGTCCAGGGCCTCTTTGGTCCTGTGAGACCAGCCTGTACGATGGGAACGGCTTTTGGCGGCCACTTTTTGGGCAAAAATGTCATCACCATTCGACTCTTTGATGCAAAATGATGCAAAATGGATTCGAATGGAATTATTTCATGCAAAGATATGCAAAGGTTTACAGTAAGGATGTTCAATGCAGTATTTTTGGGATCTTTCGGAATCTTTCGGTCAGTTCCAGTCAGGGCCTTTAAAATGTGTGTATATATAATTACTTTGTCTATCTTTGTCTTCAATTATTGTATTTGTTTGTCAGCAGGTTCTATTGAAGCTGTTCGATTTGATGTGTTGACTTCTGTTTTGGTGAGGTTCAAATAACAATCCATCTTGGATTGTGAAATGGAATGGCCAGAATATTGTGAACGCCTGGAAGAGGAGTGTGCCTTGGAGAAGAGCATAATATCGCACGTCTTAGATGACCTTTTACTCACAATTCCATACGATTGCCAATTTGCTGAGCCATTTCGCCCTTTCGACTCAGGGACACAATACCTACAAATACAACCTGGGTGGTACGGAGCTCTCTCTGACGTGGTCCACAAATCATCTCCAATTGGCACTTAGCTCCTTGGCAAATTCTGTGCATCCTTTGGTAACTTTGCTTTTTAATCAGATTTAATCAGCAAGATTTGATGACCTTGCCATCCATGCCCTGCCCTTGGCAGACTAAAAACCCTATCAGCTCACAGGCTACGGAGTGACTTACAAAGCACAACGAAGTCACTGGAGACGGCAGAAAAACATTCGTGCTGCTTGTCTTGAATAGTACGCACTTGTTTGTGCTTCTTCATCACTGAGAATAGTATGTTGGTTGAAGTTTCATGTGGTAGCTATGTGGAAGAGTTGATTCCGAACATTCGACGTCCTACGGCCTACGGCATTTTTCTGGCAATTTCCATATTTTTTCAACTTCAACCTGATGTTTAGCTAGTTTAGCTTGACAGATCCTGTGTTGAAACGGCATTTGCCTCTCTGCCCTTCAGATTTTTTGCTGATACTTGTCCTTTTGTTAAGGTCTCTGGCTTCTATTACACAGCAGCTTGGATTTCAGCTGGATGAAGCGGCGATGTTTGCTGAAAGAATGTCAATGAAGAAAAACAAATACACCTGGCCCAATTCTGCAAGTTGCTTCTCCATATTTTGGATGGGATACATTGCGATATTGGTAGCTGAAAGGTGTTGCATCGCGACCTTGCCTTTCCTTGCCTAGGACTTCTACACGCAGAACAACCTATGGCAGCTGCCTCAGAGGAAGCGGCTGAGCCCCTTTCTGACTTTAAGAAATATCCAAAAACATCCCAACTATCTGCTTTGACAACTTTGATTGCAGTCAAATCATTCAATATTCAATTTCTTTGTGCGTGTACTGACGAACTGCCCCACTTCAGCGAGCACAGCTTGCAGGGCGAAGACGCAGCTTGGCAGAAATTCAGTGTGCAAGCAGTGCAAGTGTCTTTGCATCAGTCATCAGAGTGCAAGTTAGGCTTGCGGCAGAATTGGCCTTTGGAGTTCCCATGAGTTCCCCCATGTTCCCCCATTGCCAAACAGTACAAGCATGAAAATGCGGCAATTGGTTTCAGGGTGCTCCGGCGCTCCGCCTGTGGAAATTTGTGGAGGGTTATGGACGCTTCTGTGGGTTTCAATGTTCCAAGATGCTCCCAAGGTTGCTTTCACATGGCTTATTGAAATTTATTTAAGGTACTTAAAGCTTCTTGAAGCATCTTGAAGCTGGCGAAAATGTTCGATCACATTCAGCCCGCATGCTCCTACTGTACCCCATTCTATCCCATCCTTCTGGGCGGCATTTGAGGTGCAGAAACGGGGTCTTCCGTGGCGAAGCAGTGGAGCTGCATCGTGGCTACCGACCACACGGTGATGATCGAATGGTGCCTCGCTTGGCTTGGGTATGTTTGGGTGCCAGGACATGCTTCACTCAACGCCTTGGAAAGATTATGAAAGATTCGACGTCGTTCTTTAGCCGGGCAATGTAGAAGTTCGTGACGTATCTTGCTGCATCTTGCTGCGTCTTGCTGCCCAGGTCAGTGCTGACTATGACATGTTTCAAAAGAGCAATTCTCAGATCGAATCTTGACATGCCTTGAATGTCCTTAACGTGATTTGGACATGAGCCTCACACACCGCGACCGATGACCCATTGCATTTACAAAGCTTAGTAGTACTGATTACTGCGCAAGTTCATGTTGGACTTGTCAAGGAAAGATGGATGGAAATCCATAATCTTTCATTGCCCACTTGCTGTCTGTAGCGGATTGCAGCGCCATTTGCTTCATTTCGCCTCAATGGAGTTTGAGTTTGCCAAAGATACCCGAAGTTTCTGCCCAGGAAGCCAAGTTGGACTCCCTCACCACCATGGCAAGCTTGTTGCTTGGATTTATTTGGATTTCAAGTGATTTCAAGTGATTTCAAGTGATTTCAATCTCCTCATGTTTTCATATATTTTCTATATGCATCCCGTCAGGGGATTCGTGGGCGTTACTTGCCCCATACTTGTCACTGTGCCTGCCATTTGCCTCCAAGTGCCTCCAAGTGCCTCCAAGTGCCTCCAAGTGCCTCCAAGACTGCGGCACTCCAGGCTAGATGCCGGTTCTGATGGAGTGGAACTGGTGGATGTGAATGTATCTGAAGTAGACGAGCAGTAACTTGCCTGAAGGGGGGAAGCCAGGGCAGCAGTGGAGTGTGGACATTTGAATCTGGACATTACTAGTAGTTCTAAGATGTACCAGTCATAATGTATGTTATGACGGGCTCTTGCAATGCAGGCATATCATATCTGAATATATTTGAATACAATGCAGGAAGGCTGCTGACCAAGCAGACTTTCCCGCGTTTTGGTGCGCCTAAGGCCTTGCAAGACTGCTCAAGACTTGGAGGAGTGCATGGATGCCTTTCACATTTGACTCGATAGATGATGAATATATTGTGAATATAAATATGATGATATGTGATGATATGTGATGATATATGATGATATATGATGATATATGATGATATATGATGATATATCAATATATAACATATATATATATATATGATTCATATGTTTATATATTACAAACACACACAATATATTATATTGTATTATATTATATTATATTATTATTTTATATTATAATATAATTTATTATAGTATATTATTATATTTATATTATATTATATTATATTGTATTATATTTATATTATATTTATATTATATATATTTATATTTTATTTATTTTATTTATTATATTTATCTATGTCCATAGTTGTCAATGAGATGCTCATGAGATGCCATGCCTTCGAAGTTTGTAGCGACTCGTGCAGGGGGCAAAGAAAAATTGTGCCGTCCTAAAGAAGGAAGAAACACAGGACAGAGTCGGACAGAGTCGGACAGAGTCGGACAGATGTTCAATGCATTTGGCCATATCCCAGCACAATTCAGAGCAAAATAGATTGGAAGAGTGGAAGAGCTGGAGCTGCTTCAGGGTCCCTTGAAGAGTCCAGAGACATGTGCAATGTATTGCAATGTCATGTTTTCTGTGGCTTTCTGGGCGTTACTTGTCGGGAAGACCAAAAAGCACAGGAGGAGCAGGAAGAGCTGGATGAAGATGCAGAAGCTAAAAAGAATCAGGATGGCAACCGTAATTTTTTCCACGCGATTTGATGAGGTGGAAACACATCAAACCGTGGCACGTGGCGGCCATTCATTGTCTCGATCCCAATTCGCAGGTTTTAGTTAATGAATAAGCTCTACTTGAGCCGCCTATCTTTGCTTGACACGGTTTGACATGGCTGAACTTCCCAAGAGAATTGAGTGGACGGAGACCTTAGGAAACTTAGGAACTTCAATCCGTTGCTTGATTCTTGGTTGAGTCTGGAGATGTATGGAGCTTTGCTTCGCTTTCCATGCGGTGGGTGCTGTATGGTGCTGCATGGTGAGCTTTGCGACAGGACAACACCTACAAGCCTCAGCCTTGGCTTCTGGGGGGCTGTGAGGGCTCTGAGGGCCCTGGGTCTCTCCAGCCGTTAGGTATCACATGATAGGCCCTAGCAACATGGAGCATCATGGAGCCTGGTTAGTGTAGGCCAATTGATCTTGATTGTTGGAATTCCTCCGGCCATCAAGCGTCTTGCCGCCTAGGAAATCAGACATGTGATATGGCTATGTAGGCTATGAATGTAAATGCGCATGCCATATACATGTATGCACAAACATCCTTAGGTGAGCAGACCCTTTGATTATGTGCACATGTGCAGTAGTCTCTGGCTATAGATAGATAGATTGATAGATAGATAGATAAATAGATAGATAGATATAGATAGATAGATATAGATAGATAGATAGATAGACAGAAAGACAGATTGATAGACAGACAGACAGATAGATAGATAGATAGATAGAAAAATAGATAGATAGATAGGTAGATAGATAGATCGATAGATAGATAGATAGATATAGATGGATGATATAGATAGATAGAAAGATAGATAGAAAGATAGATATAGATAGATACAGACAGACAGACAGACAGACAGACAGACAGACAGACAGATAGATAGATAGATAGATAGAATTATAGAATTAGATTAGATTGGATTAGATTAGATTAGATAGATGGATAGATAGATAGATAGATAGATCGAGATAGACAGACAGACAGACAGACAGACAGACGGACAGACAGACAGAGAGATAGATAGATAGATAGATAGATAAATAGATAGATAGATAGATAGATAGATAGGTAGGTAGGTAGGTAGGTAGGTAGGTAGAGAAAGAGATAGAGACAGAGATAGATAGACAGTTGGATAGATAGACAGTTGGATTGATATTTCATCATATGTCTAGATGTCAGACTGGCGGAATGCATTGGGTCTGTGCAGACAAGATTGCCGTATACGCCCTTATTGCCAACCGAAACCTGCTTTCGCCCCTTCGAAGCTTTCGCCCAGTGCCTGCATTGCGGACATTTGCTCCACCGCAAGCAAAGACTTTGGGAATGCAGCGAAGGAGACAGAGGTGCTGCATCGGAGTAGGGAAGGTGGTGTCTGTTTTTTGAATGTTTTGGAATATTTCAGATAGCTTATGAAAAGTCACACATGTCAATACACATCACACATGTTGCACATGTCAACACCAAGAATTTGAATTCACTTTAAATTCTTATGTCAATCTTCATGTCAATGGCGCGTCAATCATGTACATTGGAAGTCATGAGGTTCCCGTGGAGACAGGGGGAGTCAGTCCGAGTCAGAAGTGCTGCAGGAAGAGAGTGAGATGGAATCTGCTTTGAAACACAAAAAGGTGTGTGCCTTAAGCCGCTGCATACCTCTGCAGCTTTCTGGAAGAGTTGTGCTCCTCAAGCTGGCTGCCTCACCAAAGACATCCAACAACTCCTGTTTTTTTTTCCAACTTTGTTTGATCTCGAATCTCGAAGCAGTTTCATTCCTTTGGCATCACTCCGGCTTCCCAGCAGTGCTTTCCAAATGCCAAGCGGTTCCAAGGAGCTGCGGACAGCTTCTTTAAACGAAGAATGTAAAACAGGCAGATCGGCGTTTGCTGCGGCTGCACTGTGGTATTCAGCAGGTGCAGAGACTCTCTTGTAAAGAATATTCTATTCAATATTCCCGGATATATTTCCCTGCTTTGATAAATCCGTGGGGTGCCGGCCATGACTGCCACAGTTGACAATGATCGCAGGGTGGAGAACCACAGACGGGGCCGACAGCTTCCTATATGAAGCAGAAAGGTCCAAATCCCAGAAAGGACTCAGATGTTCGGCGAACTCAAGATTGTGCCTCCCTCCATTTGATGACATTTGAAGAGCCACCTCTACAATTGAGTTGAATTTCGCCTTGCTCCATCACCATCTCATGCCTTTTTCATCTTTTTTCTATTTGGTCGAGATGGCAGTTTGCTGTTAGGGGCGCCGCCTCGCCAATTATTTTTTCCTCGCTTGTGCACTCTCTGTTGCTGCATGTTGCCCTTTTGTCTTGCTTTTCTCGCTTCTGCACCCACATGCTTGCTGCTTCCGTTG